CCAAGAGTTTCTGAGTAGCTTTCATCAAGAAATGAGAACCCCATGCAGAGAATCTTATCCACCAGAAAAGAGCCACTCCTGTCCCTGAGCAGAATACCTTCTTCTTTCATTCCTGGACAGAATATGCTCAAGCTCACTGGAGGAGTGGGGGTTCCCCTGGCAGTCTGGGAGGGGCTCTTCTGCTGCTCAGCGGCTGGGCCATGGCAGCCAACCATCAGGTTTTTGGTGTCCAAAAGAAAGCAGCCAGCACCAGCCAGGTGACCAGATGTCTTCATGCCTCAGTTTCCTCATCTATAAAATGTAAAGAATAATAGAACCTATCTTGCAGGGTTATTGTGAATATTGCATTATTCTCTCTATAATGGTTAGAAATGATGCCAAGTGGCATTTTTTGTAATATGCAACAGCTGTGTAGAAGTGGCTTTTTTTTTTTTTTTTTTTTTTTTTTTGAGATGGAGTCTCATTCTATCACCAGGCAAGAGAGCGTGTGCAGGGGAACAGTCCTTTATAAAACCATGAGATCTCCTGAGACTTACTCATCATGAGAACAGCACGGGAAAAACCTGCCTTCATGATTCAGTGACCTGCCACCAAGTCCCTCCCACAACACCTGAGGCTTACGGGAGTTAAAATTCAAGATGAGATTTGGGTGGGGATACAGCCAAACCATATCATAGAGTTCTAACAATCAATGAATTCTCTTTAATTTCTGTTTTTATTTGATTCAGGGGTACACGGACAGGTTTGGTTTGGGGTATACTTGAAACCGTCACCCAGGTAGTGAGCATAATACCCAATAGGTAGGTTTCTTGCCTTCCTGTCTCCCTCCCTCCTTCTGGCTTCCCCAGTGTCTGTAACTTCCATCTTTATGTCCCTGAATACCCAATGTTCAGCTTCCACTCACGTGAGAACACACAGCGTTTGTTTTTCTGATTCTGCATTAATTCTCTTAGGATGATGGCCTCCAGCGGCATCCATGCTGCCGCAAGAGACCTGACGTTCTTCTTCATGGCTAGTGTATCTGTACGTTTTCTTCATCCAGTTCACCTTGTCCGGGCACCTAGGCTGATGGCATGTCTTGGCTGTCGTGAATAGTGCTGCAGTGTGCTTGCCAGTACACGTGTCCTTGGTAGAATGATGTCTTTTCCTTTGGGTAGATACCCAGTAATGGGATTGCAGGTAGTTCTAACTAAAAACTGTACTTCTGTTTTCAGTTCTTCGATAAGCCTCCAAACTTCTCCCCACAGTGGATGAACCGACTGGCGTTCCCACCAACATTGTATGCAGTCTCACCAACATCTGTTATTTTTTGATGTTTCAATAATAGTCATTCCAGGCCAGGCACAGTGGCTCATGCCTGTAATCCCAGCACTTTGGGAGGCCCAGGTGGGTGGATCACGAGGACAGGAGTTCGAGATCAGCCTGGCCAACACGGTGAAACCATGTCTCTACTAAAAATACAAAAATTAGCCAGGCGCAGTGGCAGGTGCCTGTAAGTCCAGCTACTCGGGAGGCTGAGACAGGAGAATCGCTGGAACCCGGGAGGCGGAGGTTGCAGTGAGCCGAGAACATACCACTGCCCTCCAGCCTGGGTAGACAGCAAGACTCCATCTCAAAAAAAAAAAAAAAAAAAATAGCCATCCTGGTGTGAGATGGTATCTCTTTGTGGTTTTCATTTGCACGTCTCTGATGATTAGTAATGAGCATTTTTTCATGTGTTTTTGGCCACTTGTATGTCCTCTTGTGTGAAGTGTCCACTCATGTCCTTTGAGCATAAAAGTGGATTAAGTGAATCATAAGGCCATGATCATTTTTTAATTTAATTATATTTTAGGTTTTGGGGTACACGTGAAGAACATGCAGGATTGTTGCATAGGTACACACGTGGCAGTGTGGTTTGCTGCCTTCCTCCCCATCACCTGTATCCGGCATTTCTCCCCATGCTGTCTCTCCCCAACTCCCCACCCCCTGCTGTCCCTCCCATATTTCCTCCCGTGGGGTGTGTCTCATGTGTTCTCATTGTTCAACACCCGCCTATGAGTGAGAACATGCAGTCTTTGATTTTCTGTTCTTGTGTCAGTTTGCTGAGAATGATGGTTTCCAGGTTCATCCATGTTCCTACAAAGGACACAAACTCATCGTTTTTGGTGGCTGCATAATATTCCATGGTGTATATGTGCCACATTTTCCCTGTCCAGTCTATCATTGATGGGCATTTGGGTTGGTTCCAGGTCTTTGCTATTGTAAACTGTGCTGCAATGAACATTCGTGTGCATGTGTCCTTATAGTAGAACGATTTATAATCCTTTGGATATATACCCAGTAATGGGATTGCTGGGTCAAATGGAATTGCTATTTCTAGGTCCTTGAGGAATCGCCACACTGTCTTCCACAATAGTTGAACTAATTTACGCTCCCACCAACAGTGTAAAAGTGTTCCTGTTTCTCCACCTCCTCTCCAGCCTCTGTTGTCTCCAGTTTTTTTAATGATCGCCATTCTAACTGGTGTGAGATGGTATCTCAATTTAATTTTGATTTGCATTTTTCTAATGACCAGTGATGATGAGCATTTTTTCATATATTTGTAGGCCTCATATATGTCTTATTTTGTAAAGTGTCTGTTCATATCCTTTGCCCACTTTTGAATTGGCTTGTTTTGTTCTTGTAAATCTGTTTTAGTTCTTTGTAGGTTCTGGATATCAGCCCTTTGTCAGATGGGTAGATTGCAAAATATTTTTCCCATTCTGTTGGTTGCCGATTCACTCTAATGACTGTTTCTTTTGCCATGCAGAAGCTGTGGAGTTTGATTAGGTCCCGTTTGTCTATTTTGGCTTTTGTTGCCAATGCTTTTGGCATTTTGGTCATGAAGTCCTTGCCTACACCTATGTCCTGAATGGTTTTGCCTACGTTTTCTTCTAGGGTTTTTATGGTGTTAGGTCTTACGTTTAAGTCTAATCCATCTGGAGTTAATTTTACTGTAAGGCATCAGGAAGGAGTCCAGTTTCTGCTTTCTGCACATGGCTAGCCAGTTTTCCCAACACCATTTATTAAACAGGGAATCCTTTCCCCATTGCTTGTTTTTGTCAGGTTTGTCAAAGATCAGATGGTTGTAGATGTGTGGTGTTGCTTCCTAGGCCTCTGTTCTGTTCCATTGGTCTATATCTCTGTTTTGGCACCAGTACCATGCTGTATTCATGACTGTAGCCTTGTACTATAGTTTGAAGTCAGGTAGCATGATGCTTTCAGCTTTGTTCTCTTTGCTTAGAATTGACTTGGCTATGCAGGCTCTCTTTTGGTTCCATATGAAGTTTACGGTGGTTTTTTCCAGTTATGTGAATAAGGTCATTGGTAGCTTGATGGGGATAGTGTTGAATCTGTAAATTACTTTGGGCAGTATGGCCATTTTCACGATGTTGATTCTTCCTAACCATGAACATGGAATGTTTCTCCATCTGTTTGTGTCCTCTCTTATTTCATTGAGCAGTGGCTTGTAGTTCTCCTTGAAGAAGTCCTTTACGTTCCTTGTTAGTTGTATTCCTAGGTACTTTAATCTCTTTGTAGCAATTGTGAATGGCAGTTCGTTCTTGATTTGGCTCTCTTTAAGTCTGTTACTGGTGTATAGGAATGCTTGTGACTTTTACACATTGATTTTGTATCCTGAGACTTTGCTGAAGTTGCTTATCCGTTTCAGGAGATTTTGGGCTGAGACGATGGGGTCTTCTAGATATACAATCACAACAGCCCTTTATGCTAAAAACCCTCAATAAAGTAGATATTGATGGAACGTATCTCAAAATAGTGAAAGCTATTTATGACAGACCCACAGCCAGTATCACACTGAATGGGCAAAAACTGGAAACATTCCCTTTGAAATCTGGCACTAGACAAGGATACCCTCTCTTACCACTGCTATTCAATATAGTACTGGAAGTTGAAGCCAGAGCAATCAGGCAAGAAAAAGAAATAAAGGATATTCAAATAGGAAAGGCGGAGGCCACGAACATTTTAAAAGCACAAAGTATATACTTAGAAATCTCCTTTTTGAAAGGTTGGAGTAATCTACCTTTCCTCCAGCTCAAAAGTGAGACGGCCCATCTTAGACTTGTCACCAAAATGTGAATAATCTCTTATTTTAGTTTGAGGTTTTTTCGGTTTTGTCTGTTTTTTTGAGACAGAACCTTGCTCTGTTGCCCAGGCTGTAGTACAGTGGTGTGATCTCAGTTCACTGCAACTTCCACCTCCCAGATTCAAGCAATTTTCCTGCCTCAGCCTGCTGAGTAGCTGGGATTATAGGTGTGCACCATCACACCTGGCTAAATTTTGTAGTTTCAGTAGAGACAGAGACCAGCCTGACCAACATGGCAGACTCTAACTCCTGGCTTCAATTAATCCACCTGCCTCAGCCTCCCAAAGTGCTGGGATTACAGGCGTGAGCCACCGCGCCCAACCTAATTTCTTTTTTTAAATGTGGCATCTCATTACTTTAGATTTTTGTTTCTTTGAGTGCCCGTGAGGTTCAGTTCTGTTCAATGTCTGTTTCTTCTTCAGTGAATTGCCTATTTGAGCGTTTTGCAGAAGGGTAGATGTAGTCAATCCCGCTTTCCAAGTGAGGAGGAAATGAAAACTCAGAGACGTTCAAAGTCACTTGTTCATGGTGGCCCAGCCAGCTGAGTGTGGAGCCATTTAGAAATCAGGCATCCGGCTTCTTCATCCATCCCTTCTCCCCACGTTGCCGAACAGAAGACGAGATCCTCAAACACGGACGGGGTACATTTAGAAAAACACCAGAGAGTCACCCTGGGGATCTGTCCGGCTCAGGAAGCCCAGGAGGCTTTCTGGAGCAGGACTCTCTGTGAGCTGAGCATATGGCCTGAGTGACAGGACTGGGGTGCTGACCAGGACTGCGGTACTGACAGACAGCAGGGGTGGAGCCGGCTTCTCCCTAAGGTCTCAGTCCTGCCTCCCACTCCCATTCCCCTGCTGCTCTGTCCTCTCAACAGCTTGCCCGCTACACCAAGGAAGGCTTCCTGCACCTGGGCGCCCTGGGGACCACCACGCTCCTCCCTGACACCCGCTGCCTGGTGGACAACTCCAAGAGCCGGCTGCCCCAGCTCCTGGACTGCGACAAGGTCAAGAGCAGCCTGTACAAGCGCTGGAACTTCATCCAGGTGAGCGCTGTACGGACAGGGCCAGCGCCCAGAGTTGTGGCAAGAGGCTGCAGACCAGAGGGGAATCCTGCTTCTCCAGGGGTCCCCGGCAAAGTGCAACCCCGAGCCCAGATCTCCCCGTCCCGAGCTGGGCTTGTACTCCCAAGGCACTTCCTGGGGGCAGCGTGGAGTTTCTGCATGAGTAGCATTTCTGATTCCTCAGTGCTAGGCTCTGATCAATTCTGATTATTTCTGATTGCCACCTCACTTGAGCTCTGATCAATCCTGAGAGAGCAGTGAGGGGGGACTTCCCTGAAATTCACTTAGGACCCACAGCCAGTGGGGCTGAGAACGTCAGACCGAGAAGATCCCAGGAACCTCCCCATCCCGACCCCATCCCCACCAGTGCTCCTCACCTGATTCAGACACTCAGACCGGTGAAGCTTGCTTAGGCTCTGACTTCAGAGTCCGCAGAGGACGGCCCGTGACTCCCTGTCCCAGCCCCATGCAAAGAATTTTGGTGGAATTGATTCTCTGCAAGAAGCTGTGTGCCAGGCACCATGATGGCCACACCTCTCTGTCTGTCTCTCCTTCCGTCTCCCTCCTCCGTCTCCTCGCCTTCCTCTCTCACCCTTCCCGTCTCTCCGCTCTCTTCCCTCTTTTTCTGTCCCTGTTCCCTTTGTCCTCTCTGTCTCTTGCTGCTTCTCTCGCCTGTATCTCCCCTCCCCTCCTTTTCCTCTCCTCTCCGGCTTGTCTTCGTCTCCTTCCCTCTTTTTCTTTTTCTTTTTCTCATTTTCTCTGTCTCTTTTTCCTCTCTCTCATCTGTTGTTGATTTTGTCCCCTTCCAGAACGGAGCCATCATGAACAAGGGCACGGGGCGCTGCCTGGAGGTGGAGAACCGGGGCCTGGCTGGCATCGACCTCATCCTCCGCAGCTGCACGGGTCAGAGGTGGACCATTAAGAACTCCATCAAGTAGAGACAGGGGGCTGGGGCCCTGGCGGAGAGACAGCAAGGGGCCGGCTGGCACTCGGCGGGCCCTTCAGGGCAGCACGGGGACCCCAGATGGATACTCTGTCCCCCTCAGGCATTCAGCTGCCCACAGGGTTCCTGCACCCTGGAAAAGCCCCCGCCCCTTCTCTGGGAAGCCGAGAGCTGTCCTCCGCAGCCTCTGATGTGGACCCGGTACTGAGGGGTGAGGCTGTCCGGTTCTCCACCGCATCCGCCACCCCCGAGTCAGGACCTGGGACCGGCAGAGTCCCCTCCTGCGGCCCGTCTCCTGCAGCAGCACCTGCTCAACTCCACTCATCCACACGGTGGGAGGCAGCGGGGGCGTCAGCCACGTCCGAGCTCCCCGCCCCAAAAGGAGGCAGCGAGGACCGGGCACTGTTTCCTCCGAGGCTGCTTCTGCCCAGATGGCACCTGCCTGTTCACGCCCCAAGGCAGCCACTGCCCCCAACTCTTCCCACCAGGGTGGCTTTGGGCACTGCCGCTCTGGACTCTTCTGGCCCCTCCTGAGATGACCTGGATGGAGCCGATGCCTTGGCTCCTGGTCACCTGGGCACTAGGCTCGTACCGAAATTGGGACAGCTCTCCTGCCAGTCTAGAGGCCGGAGACAGAAACAGGCTAAGCCTGCAGCATGGTCTCAGCCGCGAGGGCCCCGCAGGGTGGAGCTGGGTCAGGGACTGGGAGCCCTGAGTGAGGGAGGCCGTCCCCGGGGAGCAGAAGGGACCCTTTATCCAGAACTTACGGGCTGCAGCGAAGGCTTCCGGGAACCTCGAACGTGCTTTCGGCTCACCTCATCTCACCCGTGCTCTGCTGGCTGGCGGAGGAGAAGCCGGTCGTTTCCTCTCTGAAGAGTAATAATTTTTTTCGATTGCCCTCTGGTTAGGGTGCACATATAAATCAGAGTTAATATATGAACGCGTGTGCATGCATGAGCGTGTGTGTGCCTGTGTGCTGTGCGTGGCAAGGAGTGTGCGTGTGTGTCTGGTTGTGCGTTCGGAGCGTGTGACCATGCTGACCTAGCTGTGTGGCCCTGGGCTTGCTGCTTCATTGCTCACCTCGATAGGGATGAGGTGGGTGAGAAGGACGAGGGGGTGTGGGTTTGGCCCATGTCACTGGCCGGAAGCATGTGGCCCAGCCTGCCCTGTGGGGCCCCCCGCGGAAGGTGGCCCCATCTCCCAGTCCCCATCTCTCTCCCCTGCGCTGTCCCTGGTCAAGCACTGCCCAGAGCTGAACCCCATAGCGTCCCCCTTGCCCTGTGTGGGATTCAGAGAGTCTCATTTGGTGACATCTTACTGGTGATCATCTCCTCACCCCATCTCCCACCTTGTGAAATAAATACATGTTAGCACTTCCCAGAGCAGACTCCTTTGTGTCTTGATTTCCCCAGAACTGGAAGTTGGAAGGGGTGTGATGGAGACAGGGCGGAGGCCGCCTTTGGCACTGAGGGGTTGGTGTTACTTATGAGACGGGGTCTGGCTGTCACCCAGGCTGGAGTCATGACCACTGCAGCCTCGAACTCCTGGGCATAAATGATCCTCCCACCTCAGCCTCCTAACTGAGGTTGCAGGTACACAACATGTCTTTTTAATTTTTTTAAAAAGATTCTTGGCCAGGCGTGCTGGCTCATGCCTGTAACCCCAGCACTTTGGGAGACCAAGGAGGGTGGATGACGAGGTCAGGAGTTCGAGACCAGCCTGGCCAACACAGTAAAACTTCATCTCTACAAAAAAAAAAAAAAAATTAGCCAGGTGTGGTGGCAGGCACCTGTAGTTCCAGCTACTCAGGAGGCTGAGGCAAGAGAATCACTTGAACCGGGGAAGTGGAGGTTTCAGTGAGCCAAAATCACACCACTGCACTCCAGCATGGTGACAGAGTGAGACTGTCTTAAACAAAAACAAAAAAATATATATTCTTTTATAAATTTTGTTAAAAGATTTTTTTAAAAAAAATTTTTAAAGATGGGTTCTCACTGTGCTGCCCAGACTGGGCCTGAACTCCTGGCCTCAAGCTATCTTCCCACCTTGGCCTCTAAAAGTGCTGGGATTTCAGGTGTGAGACACTACAGCTAATTTTAAAAAATTGTAGAGAGGGGTCTTGCTATGTTGCCCAGATTTATTTCGAACTCCTGACTTCAAGCAATCCTTTCCACTCAGCCTTCTGAGTAGCTGTAACCACAGGCACAGGCCACTATCACTGGATGATTTTTTTTTTCCTTTTTTTTGAGATGGACTCTCGCTCTGTTGCCCAGGCTGGAGTGCAGTGGCACAATCCCAGCTCACTGCAACCTCCGCCTCCTGGTTTCAAGCAATTCTCCTGCCTCAGCCTCCTGAGTAGTTGGGATTACAGGTGCATGCCTCCACACCTGGCTAATTTTTTTTTTTTTTTTTTTTTAGTAGAGACGGGGTTTCACCATGTTAGTCAGGCTGGTCTTGAACTCCTGACCTCATGATCCACCCGCGTTGGCCTCCCAAACTGCTGGGACTACAGGCATAAGTCACTACACCCGGCCACCTGGCTGAATTTTGAGAAACAATTTCCTGTTACGTTGCCCAAGCTGGTCTTGAATTCCTGGCCTCAAGTGATCCTCCCACGTCAGCCCTGCAAAGTGCAGCGATCACAGTAAAGTGAGTCAGTGCACCAGGTCTAGGTTTTCTTGTAGTAAAGGCGGAAGGCCCGCACACACCGGGGCTGACCGAGGCAATGCCAGCCTACCCTCACACGCAGCTTTTCCCCCTCAAAGCAGGACGGAGCTGGTCACCTGACTTTCCCTTACTAACCCTGTGTGTCCCAGGTTAGGAGCGTCAGGTGGGCACAGAAAGCCGTAAAAAAGGGGAGACTCACCCCAGGACCTGGCCTGATCCAGCCCCTCGCTGCCGCCATCCAGCGAATCCCAGCTCTTAAGCCCCTGGAGCTGGTGGTGGAAGGATCTGCCTCTTGGATGTTATCAGAAAAGTGAAATCTGACACAACCCTAGGCCTTCTGTCTCGGATACCAGCAGGGAGGGAACGGGCCCAGAGTCCCCACAGGATCTTTCAACAACACAATTTTTACTTCCTGGACTGCAGGAAGGGTATCCTCGCTAGCCATCTTGCCACCAGAGTACAATGAACACACAATTTTATCCCTTACACATTTGGGGTCGTCCTTCCTGCTGTGAATGATCTCCGTTGGCTGGAGCCAGACCTCACAATCTAAACTAAAAGCCAATTGGCTAATAACTTAAAACTTTTCTAAATAGGTTAAAGCAACAGAGAGCAGGGACATGCCTGTGAGCACATCCAGCACAGGTATCTTGGTTAAAGTCTGAAGGAGAAATAAAATCCTTTATGAACAAGCAAGCACTCAGAGATTTCATCACCACCAGACCTGCTTTACAAGAGCTCCTGAAAGAAGCACTAAATATAGAAAGGAACAGCCAGTACCAGCCACTCCAAAAACATACCAAATGGTAAAGCGCATCAACACAATAAAGAAACTGCATCAACTAACGGGCAAAAGAGCCAGCTAGCATCAAAATGGCAGGATCAAATTCACACATAACAATATTAACTCTAAATCTAAATGGGCTAAATGCCCCAATCAAAAGACACAGACTGGCAAATTGGATAAAAAGCCAAAATCCATCGGTGTGCTGTATCCAGGAAACACATCTCACATGCAAAGATACATAAAGGCTCAAAATAAAGGGATGGAGGAAGATTTACCAAGCAAATGGAGAGCAAAAAAAAAAGCGGGAGTTGCAATTCTCATCTCTGATAAAATAGACTTTAAACCAGCAAAGATCAAAAGAGACAAAGAAGGACATTACATAATGGTAAAAGGATCAATGCAACAAGAAGAGCTAACGATCCTAAATATATACACACCCAATACAGGAGCAGCCAGATACATAAAGCAAGGTCTTAATGACTTACAAAGAGACTTAGACTCCCACATAATAGTGGGAGACTTTAACACCCCATTGTGAATATTAGACATATCAACGAGACAGAAAATTAACAAGGATATCCGGGATTTGAACTGAAGCCTACACCAAGCAAACCTAATAGATATTTACAGAACTCTCCACCCCCAAATCCACAGAATAAACATTCTTCTCAACACCATATCACACCTACTCTAAAATTGACCACATAATTGGAAGTAAATCACTCCTCAGCAAATGCAAAAGAACAGAAATAATAACAGTCTCTCAGACCACAATGTGATCAAGTTAGAACTCAGCATTCAGAAACTAACTCAGAACCACACAGCTTCATGGAAACTGAACAACTGGCTCTTAAATGCTGACTGGATAAACAATGAAAGGAAGGCAGAAATAAAGATGTTCTTCAAAACCAACGAGAACAAAGACAGAACGGTCCAGAATCACTCGGACACATTTAAAGCAGTGTCTAGAGGAAAATATACAGCAATAAGTGCCCACATGAGAAGCAAGGAAAGATCTAAAATTGACACCATATCATCAAAATTAAAAGGGCTAGAGGAGCAAGATCAAAAAAACTCAAAACCTAGCAGAAGACAAGAAATAACTAAGATCAGAGCAGAACTGAAAGAGACACAAAGAACCCTTCAAAACATCAATAAATCCAGGAGCTGGTTTTTTGAAACGATCAACAAAATAGACGACCAGCCAGAATAATAAAAAAGAAAAGAGAGAAGAATCAAATAGATGCAATAAAAAACGATAAAAGGGATATCGCCACAGATTCCACAGAAATTCAAACCATCATCAGAGATTATTACAAACAACTCTATGCACATAAACTAGTAAATCTGGAAGAACTGGATAAATTCCTGGACACTTGCATCCTCCCAAGCCTAAACCCAGAAGAAGTCAAAACACTGAATAGACCAATAACAAGGGCAGAAGTTGAGGCAAAAATTAATAGTCTACCACCCAAAAAAAGCCCAGGTCCACATGGGTTCATAGTCAAATTCTACCAGACATACAAAGAGGAGCTGGTACCAATCCTGAAACTATTCCAAACAATCCAAATAGAGGGAATTCTTCCCAAATCATTTTATGAGACCAACATCGTCCTGATAACAAAACTCGGCAGAGACTCAGAAAGAAAAGAAAACTTAAGGCCAATATCCATGATGAACATAGACGCAAAAATCTTCAAGAAAATACTGGCAAGCCGATTGCAACAGCACATCAAAAAGCTGATCCACCATGATCAAGTAGGATTCATCCCAGGGATGCAAGGCTGGTTCAACATACACAAGTCTATAAACGTAATTCACCAGATAAACAGAACCAAAGACAAAAACCACATGATTATCTCAATTGATGTAGAGAAGGCCTTAGACAAAATTCACCAGCCCTTTATTCTAAAAACCCTCAATAAACTAGGTACTGATGGAACATATCTGAAATTAATAAAAGCTATTTACGACAAACGAACAGCCAGTATCACACTGAATGGGCAAAAACTGGAAGCATTCCCTTTGAAATCTGGCACTAGACAAGGATGCCCTCTCACACCACTCCTATTCAATATAGTACTGGAAGTTCTAGCCAGAGCAATCAGGCAAGAAAAAGAAATAAAGGGTATTCAAATAGGAAAGGAGGAAATCAAATTGTCTTATTTGCAGAAGACATCATTGTATATTTAGAAGACCCCATTGTCTAAGTGCAAAATCTCCTGAAACTGATAAGCAACTTCAGCAAAGTCTCAGGATACAAAATCAATGTGCAAAAATCACAAACATTCCTATTACACCAATAACTGACTTCAAGAGAGCCAAATCAAGAACGAACTGCCATTCACAATTGCTACAAAGAGAATAAAATACCTAGGAATACAACTAACAAGGAACATAAAGGACCTCTTCAAGGAGAACTACAAGCCATTGCTCAACGAAATAAGAGAGGACACAAACAGATGGAGAAACATTCCATGTTCATGGTTAGGAAGAATCAACATGGTGAAAATGGCCATACTGCCCAAAGGAATTTACAGATTCAACGCTATTCCCATCAAGCTACCAATGACCTTCTTCACAGAACTGGAAAAAACACCTTAAACTTCATATGGAACCAAAAGAGAGCCCGCATAGCCAAGTCAATTCTAAGCAAAAAGAACAAAGCGGGAGGCATCACACTACCGGACTTCAAACTATACTACAAGGCTACAGTCATGAAAACAGCATGGTACTGATACCAAAACACAGATATAGACCAACGGAACAGAACAGAGGCCTCAGAGGCAACACCACACATCTGCAACCATCTGATCTTTGACAAACCTGACAAAAACAAGCAATGGGGAAAGGATTCCCTGTTTAATAAATGGTGTTGGGAAAACTGGCTAGCCATGTGCAGAAAGCAGAAACTGGACCCCTTCCT